CAAGACATCCAAATACACAAAGATATCTGTCTGAACACAATGTAACAGGTAAATGCTAAATAAACATTAAAGATTGTTATAAGCATTGCTGCTAAAGTCCTTCACAGAAAACTAGGGGAAAGCAAAGAAAACATACGTACATGAAATATGTACTCATCTAGCAAAGTGCATAGTAGACAAATTAGCCACAGTGGTCTAAGCAATAATGATTTCATTTTTGGTCTGGGTAATAAGTTAATGATTTCCATGTAATAAGAAAAAAAATTAAATAAATTCTCAAATTGGATTTAATTGATTAGGATAAGCATGCTTCTTTTAATAAAAGTAATATTCCCATTATCACCTAGAAAGATGTTAACATCTCTCTTCCCAATACAAGGCTCAAGGCATGTGGAATAGGATTTTAGGGACTTTTGGTGACTGAGAAGAGAAATTCTTTCAAAGGATAGGATAGAGCTTGATTACTTTCTGTAACATTTTGCCTTGCAGATGAAATTGGTTGATTATTGATTGGTTGATTCATTATATCCCGATGATGTTGAAAACACTAATAGATGACCTTCTCCTTCAACATGGTTTTCAAGAATGTGAATCAAGAGCAACATGAATAGCATGAATAGCTCCATCTCCTTGTCCAAAATGATTTTTTGACAGCTTTTTAGGATATTTCTCCTATAATCTAGGACAGAAGATGGGGTACTGGGAAAAGCATTGAGTGGTAAAGGAAGAAGTAGATTGGCTTTCACTTAGTTCCAAGTCCTTCTGGCCTTGTTCAGGATTGCTGTGAAAAGACGGACACTGGCTGCATTTCTGCTCCCAAAGAGACAAGTTAGGAGAGGCTGGTCCAAATTAGCAGTTTTGCCCAAAGCTAGAAAGCTGGTCAGTATACCTGGAACTTTGATCCAGGTCTTTCAGAGTCTCTTCCTTTGGCAAATGTCCCATGCATTGTGCTTATGCAAGTTGTACCCACCATTACCACCACTGCCAGCCCACTAAGTTCTGCTTTAGCCTCACTTTCAAGGTCCATTTGCTTTTAGAAGTCTGTCTCTATCATCCTTATCTCTTTAAGTACCTTTTTCTTTTTTTTCTTTTGGTACCAGCTATTCAATTCAGGGGCACTTAACCAGTAAGCCACATTCCCAGCCTTATTTATTTTATTTTATTTTTTTGGTATTTGATTTAGAAAAAGGGTCTCACTGAATTGCTTAGCACCCCACTTTTGCTGAGGCTGGCTTTGAACTCACGATCCTCCTGCCTCAGCCTTCCAAGCTGCTGAGATCACAGGCATGCGCCACCGTGCCCTGAAAGCATCTTTTCTTAAACAATCTGAGAACTCAGCAACTTTGTGTTGCTAAGTTGTGTCAGGTGTCCCTCCTACATGGTCTCATAATTTTTTTCATCAAGGCACATATTATAATAAAAATGTTTATTGCTATATAACACAAATATAGAGAAAAGTTTATGCATCATACATAAGTGAATAACTTGATGAAATATCAAAAGGCAAAACCTCCTTCCAGCAGCACCCTGAAAACTGTTCCCTTTGTAAACACCCTATCATTACCTCCTCAGTCCTCCCCAAGGGTAATCATATCTTGACTTCCAAATCCATTTATCTTGTTTGTCCTGCTTGTAAATTTTATATAAATCAAATCAGACAGTCTTGTTTCTGCTTGTGAGATTTCTTCCTTGTATTATGTATAGCAATTCTTCATTCCTTTCCTTCGGATAATATTTCATTATATGAAATCACACTAATTTATTCATTGTATTATTGATGGGTAATTATAATTTTGAATTGTTATAGTTTGGAGTTAACATGATATTACTATAAACATTATATATATATACATTCAGATATGTATTATATGTATATATAATATATAAAATATATACATATATAGATACATATATATGTACATATATACACATTTTATATATATGTATATGTATTTTAGAGCTGTGGAACAAACCCCAGGCTTCTTGCCAGGGAAGTGCTATAGGAGTGATATCTGTAGCTCCTGAAAATTTTTTTATTGAATATATGTACCCTTTTGGGGGTACAATGGGATGGAACTAATAGGGCATAAATTATATGACACCTAGAAGGCACCTTTGTAAAATCTCGTGCATTAATAAATTAGTCATAAAAGCACGCATGTGTTCGCTTTTATATCCATTTGTCACCTCTTAGGAACATGTTTTCAAGCATGGGTGGGCATTGGGCCCAGACTGCCATGATTTGACATCTGAACTGACCAACTTACTAGCTAGTATGTTATCTTTCTGAGCTTTTAACATCACTGGGTTGTTAGGCAGATTGAATAAATTGAACATAAAATACTGAAAGCATTGCCTGGCATATAGTAAGAACTCAGTGGGGTTAGCTATTACTGTCCTTGTCCAGTCCTTAAAGTTCACATACCATTGAAGTCCCTAGAGCTAAAATTGGTTAATAAGAATTTTAGGGGGCTGGGGATGTGGCTCAAGCAGTAGCGTGCTCGTCTGGCATGCGTGCGGCCCGGGTTCGATCCTCAGCACCACATACCAACAAAGATGTTGTGTCCCGCCGAGAACTGAAAAATAAATATTAAAAATTCTAAAAAAAAAAAAAAAAGAATTTTAGGGCATCCCCTGCACCTAACCCCATAGAGTCTCTGGACTTTTAAAGTTCCCTTTACCCAACATTCACCATCTGCTGTATATTGTGCACTGGTTCATGTCACTTCAAGGAGATTAGGGAAGACAGTGACTGGCTTATTCTTCATAGTAGCAGTGGTTTTAAGAGTCACACTTTAACTTATGGATATCTTAGCTGAGTGTGTTCCCTCTAACCCATATTTGAGCAGACCAGCAGTTGGAGAGCCACGAAGAAGTGTGTTGTCTTGCTTTCAATCATCAAACTCAAATGGGGCCTGATTGGGCCTCTGGGAATATGCTTGCAGGGATATGTCCCATTCCCTTAGATCAAAGATATCTCCGCATGTATATAATTTGACACCACAGTGCTTAGTAAATATTTATCATTTGTCTATTGATCCCTGTTCTTTCTTGACTTCCCTGTTCTTGGCTTGTTCCCTTCCCACCCACTTGTGCTAGATCTAATCTCCCGTTCATGTGACAACACTTGGGACTCAGCTGGCATCTCTGGGTTCTAGAGAAATGCACAGCAGATCTTATAACTGACTATAAACCAATAAATTGGATCTTTACCTTTGAAAAGTTAAAAAATTCATGATCTACAACTAGTTCCTGAATCATCTATACTTAAGAGTATAAACTCCTAGCTGCAAGAACTGTGTTCAGATAAAAGTGTGATTTAAGCATTTTTGTTCAAGGAGGAATTCATAACTTTTATTGATAATGAGAATGAAAGGGAAATATGTGAAACATCTCTCCAGCAGGCACTAATCTTTACTAGGAAAATGCATGGTTTGGAATCTATTTTGCATTTGGTTTAGTAGGGACTTTAATATCTAGCTAATGCTCATAGAGCAGTATCTCAGCTGCAGAGTCTGATTTGTGGTCTACCTTGAGCAGGAAGTTGTTGACTCAATTTGATCCCACTCCTTTGCTGGACTAAGAAAAGGACTAAGAGATCTCCCAATATCTGTTCCATGCTTAGAAGCCTTGAGTGTGGGGCTGGGGATGTGGCTCAAGCGGTAGCGTGCTCGCCTGGCATGCGTTCGGCCCAGGTTCGATCCTCAGCACCACATACAAAGATGTTGTGTCCGCCAAGAACTAAAAAATATTAAAAAATTTTTCGCTCTCTCTCTCTCATTAAAAACAACAACAACAACAACAACAAAAAGAATCCTTGAGTGTGGAGAGGAGGAAGTAAAGTAAAGGGAGGTGGATTTCAAGAGGCTTAAGAAAAAAACAGGCCACAGCTTTCCCTCAGGGAGGTCTGGTTAGAGGGTATGCAGTAGGCTAGATTGTACTGGTAAGATTCCCTCTTTGGGAACTCTCTATTTGCCACATACTTGTGTGAAAGGCCTAGAAAAATGAGAAAGTTCAAACAGTTTGAACTTGAGATGATCTCCTAATATCATGCCACCTTCCTTTCTCCCACAGTACAAATTCTAGCAGCATGAGTTCCAGGAGAAGGCAGACCATGCCTAGATGATGCTGAGCCCTGCAGAGCTGGATTTCCCTGGGCTCCTGTCATTAAAGTGTTCCTGCAGGGTCCCTCTTAGGAGACTGCCCTGAGTACTTTTAGAAACCTATACCTTACCTTGCCTCAGTATTTTCATTATTTTAATTCTGAATGAATCCATTACTGCCCCTTCAGCAAACTAATATCCTAACCCTATTTAGAACATTCTCCTAAATTTGCAAACTATTATTTTGATTTACATTTCAATAAACTTCTTTTGCCATTTCCAGCAGGCTCTAAAAGGATAGTGATCTGTAGCACTCAGAATAGAGCCTGGCTCCCAGGAGACTTAAATATTTGTTAAAAGAATTACCTGTTACTTAAATCAAATGTCAGGACAAATAGTCCACTTGAGAGAGCAGGCAATAAATATAGGGAACATTACTTCACAGCTGTCTTGTAAGATGGGCAAATTGAAAAGGATTTGTTTGGATTTATGACTGACACCATAAAATGCTTCTAAAAAGATATGGAATAGCCAGGTGTGGTGGCACACACCTGTAATCCCAGTGACTCAGGAGGTGGCTTAGTGGTTTGGTACACCGAGTTCAGTGGTATGGTACACTGGGTTCCATCTCTAGCACCATACACACACACACACCCAAAAAATGTTGGCTTTATTTTTTTCTACTGCTGAGGATGGTGAACCCAAGGCCTCATGCATACAGTGACAATAGACACCTGTTGATACTTTCCTGGAGGCAGAAGGCACTGCAGCTATTGGAAGTATAAACTAGTAAGTTGGATATCACAGCAGCATTTTCATGGTTTTAAATCTTAAATGGATCCATAATTGCTTCTTCATGAAATTATGTAAAGTAACACAAACCACAATTTTTGTAAATATTTTTCAAGGTTTTATTGCAAACCAAAATTGGTTCATTGCACACAAAAAAAGTTGTGTGGTAGGAAGAAGGGATTGTACATATTATAACCATGTTAATTACAGTACATTAAAATGGTGGTTTACATTACAAATAAGCCTGTAAGTTTAAATATACTAGTGTTATAACCCAATGTACAGACCTTCTTTATACAATACATACAATTATCAGGAATGCCAAAAAAAAAAAAAACCACATAAATAATGCCCATTTTACAGGTGACATTTTAAACAATGAAAACACCAAACGGCTTCAACAACTGGGGCATTGGTCCATAAAAACCCTTTCTAAAAATAGAAATATTTGTAGCAGCAATGCTTTCTTTTAAGCATCTGGATGCAAGTCATTGCAAGACCATTTCAATAAAGTTTAGTTATTAACAATATCTTACAAAAAAAACAGTCTACACATAAAATTTATCTTCCAAATATGGAAGAAACAAACAATGTCCCACATTGTAGTGTCCTGCAAGTGTCACATTGATGCTTATAACAAAATCCATCTATGATCAGGCATACCACACTCATACCATTGTTCACATAGTATATCCACAAGGAAAAATAAAGAACTGAAACACTCTGCGATAGGAAAAGCTTTGGAGCTAACACGATCTCAGCAGAAAAGGCACATTTCAGAATATTCCTTATCACAGCCCAGACAGACCCACAGAAGATCCTTCTTAGATCAGCATCTTCCTCCTAACAAGATCGTTGCATCTGTCTAGGGTGGCACGCTAATGCTCATTTCAGAGATAGCACCACGTAGGAAGGAAGGATAAAAAGGAAAACCTCACGAGCTCACTGAGAGGAGGGTGTGCTCTTTGAAAAGCTTCCAGCAAACAGTGTGCAACAGGATTGCCAAGCTTCCAGAGATGTGCAAATTCTCTCTTTTAAGATGTCCTGTCAGCTGGCAGCTCTGCCCAAAGGCTAACTAAAACATTTAAAACACACATGAAATCCTTCAAAACCACCCCTAAGACTATTCAGAGGAAAGAGTCCATGGGAGGTGCGCATGAGAAGCCCAGGAATGCCTCAGCAGCTTCCTTCACGCTGGCTGTGATGAGGATGCTGTCAGGGGACCTGCCGATGGAGTTGGGGACAGGCTCTTCGGTAAACTCAGGATCGAAATGCCGCAGGTCGCTGGGCCCACTCTATTACAGGAAGGAAAAAAAAAGTCTCAGAATACACATAGTTACTTGACAGGGAAACCTTTAGGCTTCAAATGCTAGAGCTCAAGTCTTTTAGGATGCTATACAAGAATTCCCATAATCCTCCACTTCAAGCACAAAACCCCAAAGGCCATAAATAGTTTAAATCATGAGGACTAATGTTTACTTTTTGTTTCTTGGTGCTTTGATAAATGTGTTTGAAAAAAAAGATTTGTTGGAATAAAAATTCTACTTTTTCTCTGGGAAAATAACGGGTCTATGGATAAAACATCTGTCAATTTTCTCCTTTTGCTTTGTAAATGGGGTCTTGCTGTGTTACCCAGGTTAAAATCTAACTCCTGGGCTAGGGATCTTCCTGCCTCAACCTCCTGAGTAACTGAGGTGACAGGTGCCCACCCCCATTCCAGGTTCAATTTATTTCTTCAAGTCCTCCCACACACACCCACCAAATCTGACTTTAAAAAAAATGGCCTTTAGGTCTCAGTAACTTAGAAGAGAGACAGAGAGATACTCACCACATTTGGGTTAAAAGGGGGCGTTATCTTCTTATTAATGAGATCATCCCAGTTAATCAGAGAGAAGAAGACGTGATTCTTAATCTCCATCTGTTGAGAAGAAACAAAGATTAATTTAGCAAGGCAGAATTCAATAAAGGCAGTGAGACTGTCTAGTGTACCTCTGAGGGCCCAGGAGAACAGGAAAACATGACTCACAAAGTCGTCCTTGGCACCGAGCCTCTTTGTCCTGTCCTTCTGCAGGAGGCCCTCCAGGAGATGTCTTGCAGAATTTGTGATATTTGGTTTCAACTGGAGGGGCTTGTTCAGAATGTTATCGTACATCTCAGCTGTGTTTCGGCTATAAAAAGGAGGCTGTAAAATAAAAAGGGGGGATTATTTTCTATTGAATTGGAAGTTTGGTATAGCATATATTACCAACAAAGAAAAAGGTAACTGCAATATATTAAGCTGGACTTCAGATATTCTTATAAAATGACCAATATGCCTCTTATCAGTTTGGGATAAGCTTACTCTCAAATTCAAGTCACAGAAGCCAGGCCTAGATTTTGGCAAGAGTGTCATGGAAATGGGCAGTGTCCTATGGTTCCCTAGGTGCTACTCACCAGGCCATACAGCATCTCGTATAAAACAGCCCCCAGGCACCACCAATCCACCGTCCTGTCGTAAGGCTGCTTATGAAGTACTTCGGGTGCAAGATACTGCAAGGCAAACCAGGAAAACAAGAATTTAGAAACTGCTTTGAAACCATGCAATTGCAAAACCAGGAATGGACTTTGAAAAGTGTGCAACACTTAAGAGTGCAACTCTCCAAGGGTGCAACTTGGAGAATATATTTCTTTAGATTACTTCTGAATAAAATCTCAGTATTCTTTGAGGCTGACTGGTCTGCAAGGTGTACAGATATTTAGGAAGGAACTGGGCACCCACAGGTGTCTTCAGACACCTTTTATGGTATGGATCTTACAATTTGCTAGTTTCTTTTTTTTTTTTAGAGAGAATTTTAATACTTATTTTTTAGTTTTCGGTGGACACAACATCTTTGTATGTGGTGCTGAGGATCAAACCCGGGCTGCACGCATGCCAGGCGAGCGCGCTACCGCTTGAGCCACATCCCCAGCCCGGCTAGTTTCAATTAAAGTAACAAAGTCCTGTAATTTCTCATGTTGCAGCAAAGAATAAGTGTATTTTACTTGCATTGAATTATAAAATCTCTAGGGTTTATTCTCTGGGTTGTTGAAAGAATTATTTCATATCTCTCTCCTGGAAGGAGGGGGAAGACCAGGGAAACAATCAAGAGCTCCTACCTCAGGTGTGCCACAGAAGGTGGATGTCGTGCCATTGTGTTCAATATTTTCCTTGCAGAGTCCAAAGTCAGTAAGGACAATGTGTCCCTGTGAATCTAGCAAAATATTCTCTGGTTTTAAGTCTCTGTTAAAAAAAAAAAAGTGGTTGCAAAGGTTAATTTTACTTCATAACTATCTTCTGTAAAGATAGTTGCTACAGATATTACAAGCATTTTTTAATTCATCATGGTAGTATAGTAAATAAAAAAAGGAAATCCTTGTTCTGCTAATCTGTTCTGGATCAGGTGCAATCTTAGTTGGCTGGTTCCCTAGTGGCAGGAGTCAAGACTACTCACATGCTGAGGAGCAGGGTTTTAGGTGATCAAGTTGCATATAAACACAAGTTATTTTAAGGCTTCAAATACTAGGACTATGTCTTTTTTCTACCCAGGAAAGTGGCTTTATGGGATTCATTGTCTCACCTATAAACAATGTTCAGAGAGTGCAGGTAACCCAAGGCACTGGCTATTTCAGCAGCATAGAAGCGAGCCCGTGGTTCTAGGAAGCAGCGCTCCCTCTGAAGATGGTAGAATAGCTGCAGGAGACAGAGGAACAAAATAAGTCTGGGCTTCCAAAGCATTTACTTAGTCCTGACATAGAGAGCTAAGGAGAACAATTGCAGGAAGTGGCTCTAAATAATCTATTAATGATTTAAAACCTGGTAGGTTAAAGGAAATGCTAATTCTGGTAACTTTTCTCCCCTAAGTATTTAAAAAAAAATTTTTCTGGAACTTAAACTAAGCAAATCCCTTGAGACCCCAAGAACTAACTTTTACTCCCCCAGCTCACCTCTCCTCCATTAATGTAGTCTAGGACAAAGTACAGTTTGTCGGCAGTCTGGAAAGAGAAGTGAAGGCCCACCAGGAAAGGGTGTTTCACATTCTTCAGTAGAACATTCCGCTCCGACATAATATGCTTCTCCTATGAAAAGGATGATTAAGATTCAGTGACAATTTTCAACTTGGCACCAAAATTTCAAGACACTTACTGAATAAGTGTCCAACTATAGCCCCAACCCACCAGTATATCTCATACCTCCTTCTTTTTCAGGATTGCTTTCTTCTGCAAAACTTTGACTGCATAAAATGCTTCTTCTGCCTTGTGTCTTGCTAGAAGAACCTAAAATTTCAATAGAAAAAATAATTTTTAAAAATCCTCATTCACAGAGAAAGTAAAATTAACACATGAAAGAGTATATTGTAGAAAGTCTTTGGATGTGAAATTACCTTTCCAAAACTGCCCTTCCCAATTACTTTTAAGAAGTGAAAGTCAGATGGTTTAGCATGAGGATTGGATGATGGACCAAGGTTGATTTGCTGAGAAGGACTTGGCTAGAAAATAAAACATTCTCTCTTAATATCATTAATTCAAAGAAAGATGTCCATAATAAAGTACAGGCAATGAAAAAGATTTACAACTACAAATGACCAAGAGAAGTTACTAAAACACTGACAAACACATTCAAAATGACTTCACCCACACATCACTTAAAATGAGTACGAAAATTGTACAATCATGCTGCCACTAACAGATAAACATTTTAATGGAATAAGCCTTTAAAAATGCTCCACTGACTCAATACTTATGAATTAATGAGGCATTCTTGCCTTGGAGCCAATTTCTATAAGTGCTATCTTAAATGTAGAAATATTAATTTACAATTTTCCTCCACAGATGCATTACAAATAAAGAGTACTTACTGGAGGAGAAGGGTTGGCATTCATAAGCTCGGGCTCCTGAGGTTGGGAGATTTTCAAAATGGACTGAACTTCAGGGCTGTAGAGAGTAAAGGAACAATTTAGAAACTCCTAACTCGCCACTAGAGGGCACACCGACATAAACAGTGAACTTCTGATTCAAATGTTCCCGGACAATTCAGTAATTGAAGTTGAAAACATCCAAATAAACTACTTAAAGAAAATAGCTCAAGAAAATGATAACCTAGTTAAATACAGAAATAAGGCTTGTCAGTGGCGATAGGTTGTGAATTAAATAAAACTTTTGGAAAAATTTATTTTACCTCGCCAGGGACAAGCTCAGTTTTCAGATAATTTTAACGTTTACAACGTTTCCAATAAACGAGAACCGAGACTTCCCTGAGTGAAGTCTTTGATAAGTCTTTTATCGCCTCCAATCCCGCCCCCCCCCAAACTTACTGTTTGCACGCATAGGAGTTATTGGCAATCTTCTGAATAAAGTCGTTCAGGCCCATCCTCCTCTGTTTCATGAAAGCTGTGGATTAAAGAGGAGAAAGAAACCTTTAGACCGTTTCCTAACGTCGGACGCCACACAAGCCATCGTTTCCACTTCGCGTATCCCAGGGTAGAAGCCCAGTCTTTCTCCTACACTCACCGATGAGAATCGCTACCATTCCCCTCATTCTGGAGTAAGTGAGGGTGCCTCTAGCAGCCTCGGTTTTCACCGTCATCGCCACCGACAGAGCACAGAGAACCTAGGCTGAC